AAATAATGTAAACAAAAGACAATATGTTTGGCTATTCAGTCTTCGGTTTCAGATCAACATCCTTCTTCTTGAGTTCCTCCACGAAGGCCACCCATCGAGCCAATTCAGCTTCAGCATCTTCCAAACTAATGTCAGATATGTCCTCATTCGATTTGATTCGATTATTAGAACAAGAGGCGTTATCTTCCTGATGGGGCATGAGATTCTGAGCTGGAGCAGAAGATTCAATACGAATTCTCGACGATTTAGGGCATAGTGGAAGAGAGCTGGCACATCGTCACCAAGAATCATGGTTCGAAGTAGTTGTGGGCCTATCTTGCTTAGTCAGCCCCTTGCTAGAAGAGGACTTCTTTCCCTTCAACGACAAACTCGCCTTGACCAGAAGAGTTGAAGAATGCCAACGAGGCGGAAAGATAGGGCGACGATAGATGGCCTCTCTTGGCGAGGTATAATTCTAAATATGGCGAAAGTAGCGAAGCAACCTCTGAGAGAAGTGTCCCTCTGTAAAGTGCTGCCCTGCCAGAATAAGGCATGAATGCCCCATAACAGGCAGCAATAGAGATAATTTTGAAGACCCCTGATCATCCAATCGAATGACAACAACTTTTCAAGAATCCTACGATAATAATTGACATTCTGAGGTCGAGTGGTGTCATTGACATAGGCCAGTCCTAGAGCAGCAGAAACAACCGTCGTTGATCAAGGAGGACAGACAACAGCGAAGTGTTTCTCAGCCCAAATCTGCAGAAAATCAGGACGCTGTCCTCAAAACCTAGTTTCAAGGGAAAAATAAATAACATTATATACAAAAGTATACTCACAAAATCAGCACACTGCCCTCAATAAATCGGTCACCTCGTGCGACCTTGACGTGAAGACCTCGGTATATGTCTGCCAATATGATCGGAACAATAGTATAACCTGCTCGTTCCCAAAAAGCATGGACTAAAGGAATAAGGGAACTATGAATCGTCTTACGACCACTCGGGAAAAGAATGGAACCCAACAGCACAAAAAGAAATATACAGATTTGTTCAGCGGCTAGAGATTGCTCTCTATTCCAGACTAGCAACTCCATATTAACCCACTAATCATGTGAAGAATAAGCAACCCCCAACAGTCGCTCACCCATGATAGAGTGGTCGTCAGTGGCAATGGAGGGTTGATATGCAATCTTGCCCAAGTTCAAGCTAGAAATCCTGACAACTTCCTCCAAAGTTGGCGTTGTCTCGCCTGTAGGAAGAAAGAAAGTGTTTGTCTGACAGTTAAACGTTTTGGCAAGAGCTTCGAGAAGTGGAAGTTCACATGGCAAGCGATCATGTTCAAGATACCTGTCATCGAGATTGAGGCCAAAAGGGTCATGATCTCGAGCCATTACCGAGAGGAAAGAAACCAATCCCGAAACCACGGCCCAATAACAAGGAAGCCATTAACACATCGAGGAACTTCACCGGATCAAAGACCCTACGAAATATGAGAGGGCTGACCTTCAGGGAAATGCCTGTCCCTAGAAAGCCTCCTCCTCTCATTCATTGTCAATCTGCTCAAGAACCTTTCCTTTTCCCTTGAAGATCGCGTTGTCCTTCTTAGGAGCCATGAAAGCTTAAAGTTGAGAGCAAGAAAAATCTGTACAAATATATGGAAGATGATGAAGAAAGGAGAGGATGAAGATGAGAGGAAGAAAATTGAGTTTGAAAGATGAGGGAATAATGGGAGGGGGATGATTTTTATATATATAAAAAAAAAGAAACCCGACCCAAAATGCGTCTTATAGTTATTCGCTCGGCCAACAACTAGCCTGGATAACCCTGAAGCCAAGAGAATTAAAAATTAAAAATTAAAAAAAAATACATATATTTTTTTTGATCACATGCTCTGTGCCTCCCAATTTCGTACTTGGACTTGAGCGATACGATCCGTGTCGCCCAAATTTTATCTACAAAAAATAAAAAGTAAAAAAAATTTGGCAGCACGCCACATGCTGCCCAGGCGACACATCCCGTGCCTCCCACCCAGAAAAACAATTCCTTGGTGGCACACCTTGTGCCGCCCATCTGAAAACAAAAACAAAAAATATATAAAAAAAAATGCTCCATGGTGGCATGAGCCTAAACTGCCAACCAATTTCAAAAATAAAATAAAAAATAAAAATGATAGCACTCCTTGGTAGCATGAGCCTAAACTGCCAACCAATTTTCCAGAAAAATTTAAAAAAAATTCAAAAAAGTAAAAACGCTCCGCAGTGGCATGAGCCTAAACTGCCAACCAAAGTCCAATCCAGGGCACAACCACCCTGTTTAAATGGAAAAACGTCAAACTCGTGCAACGTTAAAGAGCCGAGAAAAATAAGAAAAACGTCAAACTCGTGCAACACTAAAGAGCCGAGACAGGAAAAATGTCAAACTCATGCGACGTTAAAGAGCCGAGACAGGAAAAACGTCAAACTCGTGCGATGTTAAAGAGCTGAGATAGGTAACGTCTAGGCCCGTATCATGTAAAATGTCGTATGTGTTCAGGGCACAACCACCTGTTCAATGTGTTCAGGGCGTAACCACCCTGTTCAATGTGTTCTGAGCACAACTATCCTGTTCAAACGTCTTGCCCCGTATGACGCTAAAGGTCAAGTATATCCAGTTCAACGTCAAATCGTGCGACATAAAAGAGTGGAGATAGATAATGTCTAGCCCCGTATGATGTAAAATGTTGGATGTGTTCAACGCACAACCACCCTATTCAACGTTGTTCAGGGCACAACCACCCTGTTCAATGTGTTCAAGGCACAACCACCTTGTTCAAACATCTATCCCCATATGACTTAAAAGGGTTGGGTGTATGGTCCATCACTGCATGACATTAAACATATTAGAGGGCTCTATGGTTGCAGGAGTTAAAACTGCTAACCAACCTTGTTTTTCAAAATATCTTTCTCGTTTAAAAATTTTCACTATATGTCTTGTGATTTCAAAAACTTTAATTCCTTTGTTAAAATCATAGTCTGTCCCTTCTCTGGGTGATATTTCAAATCTCCCCCTACTTTTAAATTTTCTAAAATTACCTACTAAAATGAAGGAGCTTGGGCACCCGTATATGATGAATACCGTTTTTGTCACGATTCTCGCGTTGCTGCCTCATCTCTCATTTCGGATTTGGCCAAACAAGTATCTTCCTATATAAAGCCTTTCCCTATAGACGGCCTTAGGAAACTCTAAGGAGATCAAAGAAAATGCCAGGGATAAAATTTCAATGTGCAAAACCCCTGAAGTTAAGTGGCATGGCTAGAAAATTCAACTCAAGTTTCAAGCTTGTGTAACTCATCGACATCTCACGCCGAAAACCCTAGGAGGAAAATGCCCTAAGTGGGAGCTCGGTGAGCGTAATGACTTGGAGGGATAGTTGGTGTGCCCCCTAACAACATGACTTACATGACGAAATTTAAAATGTCTGCTTTATCTCTGACGTTCACTTGCCCCTCGAAGGACAGGTAACGTCAGTGTGTATACTTCTTTGCCACTCACCTATCCATCGTAGGATAGGAAATGCTAAAGAGGGGCAACTGTAGACAACCCATTTTAAATCTGGCAAATTCTGTGGTTTTTCTGAACCCTTAGGATCACACTTAACCTAGTAAACCCAAATCCGTAGTTCACATAGGCTACCTTGTGATCTGAAACCAGTTTGCCTTCTCGGAACCCTGCAGAAACCTTGTTTTGACCTAGATTTCGGTAAATGCCCTGTTTTACCAAACGGTGGACCTAGCCTTAAAGATTGAGAGAGATTGTGAGAACTTTTGATTGAGGAAGGAAGGGAGAGCAAGGTCCGCACCAACTGAAATTTTGGGAAGAAGAATAAGCTGCCTCCTAGAGGAAATTCTAGAGGACGGGTTCACCAGGGCATCATGAAGGCCAAAAATATTTTCCCCGTCGATGTGAGGGAGAACTAGCGCTTGACATGCTCATATTATGGGCTAAGAAACCACTCGGCAGCTGATTGCTATAAGCGAAAGAGAACGTGCCTTAAGTGTGACAAGCCTGGCCACTGGATGAAGGATTGCCCTGTGATAAAGCTGGAGAACCGACTGAAGACTTTGGGTCGAGTATTTGTTCTTACGAAGCAGGAGGCGAAAGCCTCTACCACAGTGTTTCAAGCTACGCTCTTTGTTTGTGGTAGAGAAGCTAGAATTTTAATTGACGCTGGTTCCTCTCATTCATTTGTTGCACCTCATTTTGCATATCAAATGAATATTGAGCCTTCACTTCTTGAATACACATTAGTAGTGGGCACACCTGTGGGAGATTCTATGGAAACAGACATGGTATACAAACAATGTGAGGCTTTTCTTGAGGGGTGTGTCCTTCTAATAGACTTAATACTTTTAGATATCCAGGACTTTAATGTTATTTTGAGCATGGATTGGTTGTCTACACACCCTGTCACTGTTGTCTATTATAATAAAACTGTGACCTTTAAACGCCCTAATCAACCTAAGCTGCACTTTGTTGGTATCAAGGATGCTCTCGCTCCACATTTTATTTCGACCCTTCGGACTTACCGTCATTTGGCTAAAGGAGGTGTCAAATACTTAGCCTATGTGGTAGAAAATCGGGACGTCCTGGCTAAGCTAGAAGAGATACTAGTGGTAAGAGAATTCCCAAGAACTTTTACCAAAGAGTTGTTATCTTTGCCTCCAGTAAGGGAGATAGAGTTTGAGATGGATGTGCTCCCTAGTACTGCTCCCATCTCAAAAGCCCCATATTGGATGGCCCCAGCAGAATTGAAGGTGCTGAAAGAGAAATTGTAGGAGTTGTTAGAGAAGGGGTTCATTTAACCCAGTATGTTGCCTTCGGGTGCATTAGTTCTCTTTGTGAAGAAGAAGGATGGGTCCATGAGGCTTTGCATAGACTATAGGCTATTGAATCAAGTAACAGTAAAGAATAAGTACCCCCTACCTAGGATTAATGACCTTTTTGACCAACTTCATGGGGCCGAAGTGTTCTCTAAGATTGAGCTCCGAACAGGTTATCATTAAATGAGGGTCCGGGCGGGAGACATTCCTAAGACCGCTTTCAGAACCCGTTATGGCCACTATGAGTTTTTAGTAATGTCGTTCGGATTGACTAATTCCCTAGCTATTTTCATGGACATGATGAATAGAATTGTCAAACCCTTTATGGATGATTTTGTTGTGGTCTTTATTGATGATATTTTGGTGTATTTGAAGAGCCTAGATGAACATAAGAAGCACCTGAGAGTAGTCCTTCAGGCTTTAAGGTCGGAAAAGCTGTATGCCAAGTTGAGCAAGAGTGAGTGTTGGATTCTTAGTGTGGCCTTCCTTGGGCACGTTATTTCTAAGGATAGGGTTGTGGTTGACCCTTCTAAGATTGAGGCCGTGCTCAAGTGGGGAAGACCGACAAACGTGTCAGAGGTCTGTAGTTTTCTAGGGTTAGCATGATATTAGAGGTACTTTGTAGAAAGATTCTTGAAGATAACACTCTCTCTAACCCCTTTAACCCAGAAGAGTGTGAAATTTGTCTGCTCAGACGATTGTGAGGAACGCGTTCAAGAGCTTAATAAGAAACTAACCATGGCTCCGATACTAACCTTAACCGAAGGAAATGACGATTTACAGTTTACACCGATTCCTCTCATAAAGGGCTCGGATGTGTACTTATGCAATGTGGGAAGGTCATTGCATATGTTTCCCCACAGTTGAAACCGTATGAGAAGAACTATCCAACTTATGATTTGGAGCTTGCCACTATAGTATTCGCCTTGAAAATCTAGAGACACTACCTCTATGGAGCCCAATTTAAGGTGTTTACAGATCATAAGAGCCTCAAGTACCTGTTTTCTCAAAAAGAGTTGAACATGAGGCAAAAGAGATGAATCGACATATTTAATGATTACGATTGTACCATCCAATATCACCTAGGCAAAACTAATGTGGTAGCAGATGCTCTGCGTAGAAAGCCTGTGATCTCGGTGGCTCATCTATGGTCCGAGAGATGAAGTTGTTAGAGGATGCAGTGCGATGGCATCTGGCTCCACCCCTTAGTGATGGTGTAAGTATTATGACAACTTGCATAAGGGTGGTGCCCCATCCTTTTCATCAAATCCTGCTGACACAAGAGAAGGATCCCCAACTCATAAAAATTTTGGAAGAGATGAATTTGGGAAAGAGAGATGATTTCTCTATGAGTAGTGATGACTTGTTGAGATTCAGAGATTGGGTCTGTATCCCGAACGATGTGGATGTGAAGAGAGCTATCTTTGAGGAAGCTCACCGCTCTCGCTATGCTAGACATCCCGGGAGTACTAAGTTCTATTAGGATCAAAAGAAGACTTTTAGGTGGAATGACATGGAATGGGAAATAACATTGTTTGTTTCTAAGTGCTTATGCCAGCAGGTGAAAGCGGAGCATCAAAAACCCGACAGGTTGTTGCAGCCCTTACCGATGCCAGATTGGAAATGGGAGCACATTGCTATGGACTTTATCTTTGGTTTGCGTAGAACGAGATCTGGGCATGATAGCATTTGGGTCGTTGTGGATTGACTGACTAAAGCTGCCCACTTCTTGCCGATCCTCACGAACTGCACCTTGGATAAATTGACCCAATTATATATTAAAGAGATAGTGAGGTTGCGTAGGATATTTGTCCGCATCGGGTCCGATAAAGACACTAGATTTACCTCTAGAGTTTGGGCTAGTCTGCAGTCAGCCTTGGGAACGAGATTTACTTTTAGCACTACTTTCACCCCCAGGTTGATGGGCAATCATAGAGAACCATTCAGACTTTGGAAGATATGTTAAGGGCTTGTGTCTTTGATTTTAAGGGGAGCTGGGATGATCATTTAACCCTGATTGAATTTGCTTATAACAACAGCTTCTAAGCTAGTATTCAGATGGCACCTTTTGAGGCCCTATATTGAAGAAAGTGCAGATCACCCATTTGATGGGACGAGATTGGTAAAAGAAGGCTTTTAGGGCTAGAAATTGTCCAAGTGATCTGAGAAAATTATGCTTTGATTTAGGAGAGGCTCAGGATATCTCAGATTCGACAGAAGAGTTATGCTAATAACCGGAGAAGAAACCTCAATTTTGAGGTGGGTGATCAGGTTTTCTTGAAGGTGTCACCAACTAAGGGCATTATGAGGTCCGACAAGAAAGGGAAGTTCAGCCCGTGATATATTGGGCCTTTTGAAATTCTGAGAAAAGTTGGAGTCACAGCAGATCGACTTGCCCTATCACCTGAATTGATGAGCATCCAGGATGTCCTTCATGTATCTTTGTTAAGGAAATACATGCTCGACCCGTCCCTTGCTCTGAGATATGAACCGGTTCCCATCAGAGAAGACCGAACCTTCATCGAGCAACCTATTGAGATAGTGGATAAAAGAGTGCATGTGGTGCGTAACAAGGAGATCCCTTTGGTTAGTGATTTGTGACAGTACTATTGAGAATTTGGGAACGGGAGGATGAGATCCGGGAGAAATACCCCCCATTTTTTACTTAAAAGAGGTATGATTTGGGGACAAAATCCTTTTTAAGGGGGGGTGATGTAAGGACTTGGACTTTTTAAGCACATGGTAGTGCGCCGACGGGTCATCGCCATGGGTGATCTAGCTCGCTGACACTGTCATATGCGTTACCGTCGTGTACGATGCCACTGTGCACATTACCATTGTGCACGATGTCGCCATGTGAGTTGCCTCTGTGCACGATCCCGCCGTGTGCAATGCCGCTGTGCACGATGCTGTTGTGCGCGTTACGGTCACGTACGTTGCTGCTGTGTGTATTGCCACCGTGCGTGAGTCCACCGTGTGCGTTGCCACAGTGCGCAATGCTGCCGTGCGCATTTCCGTCGAGTGCGACACTGTTGTGTGTGCTGCTACCGAGCGCGCGATAGTCCAAGGGAAATTTTTCTCTCTGTCATGATTGCTGGCATGTTTCGTGGGCACCATGTGGCACTTGCATGCCCCATGTGTGCCAAATGTCAATTGCATGCTGTCGTCCCCTTCTTTGCTTATTTAAGCCCCACCATCTCAACCCTTCATGAAAATTTTGCTCTCTCTCTCACCCACGTCCTCCCTCTGTCCATGTTAGAGCGTTGAGCTTGAGCCATTCCTAGAGCTTGGCCCTTAAAGAGAAGCTTGTGTAGAGCCTTGGGAGTTTCATTCAGTGCTATAAGTGGATCTAGTTTCACGTTCCACACTTTTGTTTAATTAGCTTATCAAAGTGTAGAATTTCAAGCGTGACTTTGGATATGATTGTGAATATGGATATGATTGTGAAAATGGATGTGATTGTGAATATGAAATTTTGTTGTATGTGCTCTATTTTTCCAAAACTCTGACTCCTTTTTGGGTAGTTGTTTAAACATTGAAAATGTCTCTGTTGACCATGAAAATTTGTGGGAAAATTCTCCTTTCAATATACTTTAAGATGGGAAAGACCTCATGTGAATGCCTCTTTTGGTTATAGAGTTATTAGCCATCTTTTGTAGAATGCCAGAATTGTGCCATAAATTTCCAAGAACTTTACATACTTTTATATGGAACTGTTCAGTGGTCAAAATGTCTCAGAATGAGGCCAAAACACTTTTAAATGAAATATGTATGAATCTATTTTGAAAATAGTCTAGGAAGCATGATCAAATTCCCTGTGATTTGAAAGTTATGTTCATTTTTCTATAAAGATGCCACACTGAATTTCCTGTTGAATTTTCCAAAACTATCATGTGTTTTGTGTGGAATTGTTCACTCACCAAAATAGGCTAGAATGAGTTGAAACCACTTCTAAATGAAATATGTACGAATTGATGATAATGAGATAAGCTCTGTGATGATATGGGAGCATGTATTAAGACATGCTCTGTTATGACATGTGTAAATGATTATAGTACGTGTTCTATTCAAACCACTTCTAAATGAAATATGTATGAATGCATGATAATGAGATAAGCTCTGTGATGATATGGGAGCATGTAGTAAGACAAACTCTGTTATGATATTTGTAAATGATTATAGTACATGTTTTATAGTGATATTTGTGCATGATTATAAGATCAGCTAAGCTGTGACAAGTGTCATGTGATACGACCTGTGCGGTCATCTATGTGATAAGTGATATGTGATAAGTATTATGTGATTAGTGATATGTGGTAAGTGCTATGTGATAAGTGCTATATGATAAGACCTGAGTGGTCAAACATTGTGTTGACAGTCAAGATATTTTTCCCTTGAGTCCATAATAGAACGGGAGTTAAGATGAGTATGTGTTGGGAGGGTCGCGCCACCAAAAAATCTATTGGGTCATCCTTTGGTAGTGTAATACTCTCTCACTAGAAGGGCATAAGGAGAGGGCTGTGTCTCATGGATAGTGGTTAGGTGCCTTGATCTCGCCTCCCTAGATCTAGGTGATCGGGTAACACGTGTCTCGAGTTGGGAAGACCCAAGACTTGAGATCGCTTTCTCAGGAACCTTGTTCAAGAACAAGGGCAGGTATTCAACTTGTGAGAGAGGAATTTTTGGATGTGAGGTGGGGACAAACCTAACTCAGTCTGACTCGCACGGGCACCTCTTAAATCAAGACGGAAGCCCCCCTGCTGCTTCAGCTGGTTAGAAATCGTCTCCCTTGGATATTTTTGATTTGAAATAATCTAATTCATACATATTTATACATATGTAGCCATAGTCTTATATATATATATATATTGTATTAGTATATATTAGATGCATATGGGATTCAAACATCTGCTTCAAATACAGTATCAGGAAGCACAGCTTGTGGAACCTCAATA